ACAATGCCTTGGATGCATCATTTTGCTGACCAGATAGAATGAGGTTCACTGAATTCATAAAACAGATGCATAAATATCATTCAGGTGAAAAATACAACAAAGTTTCCTTCAAATTTCGCTATAGTTAAAATAACGTCTCCTCTCAAACTTCAGATAAACCCTCCGTACAACTTTGACACCAGTCACCAATTCATTTGGCATTCCTAAATTACAACCAGGCATAACCAAAAGGAGCAGGTCATTTAAATTAACGTCTACGAAGAACACAGTACACATCATTTTGGATCCACGATAGAGTCAGTCGACGTAGTTTTAGAAACTAACAGCAAATCCTAAAATAAAAACTCAGGAGAAGTAGTTCTAGTTTTGCTAAATTTACCATTGCTAAATGGTCTGTGAAAAAATCCTTTTCGGGTTCATCAAATGGTTAGTCAGGTCTTTCCCTTGATATCCAGCTGTTTAGCAGCCCTGGATTGGATGATAAAGAAGTTGTGAAGCATACAAAAAGGAAGTTGATCGAGTTTGCAAGCAAGCAGAAATTCCAAAAGACATGAATGCCCAAGGATAGATACAAAAATCAGTCTAAAATCATGTAGAAGCTATTCAAATTCAAATATATCAGCAGTTGAACATTTACCTGCATCATTGTTGTTTGTTCAAGCAGAGCTTTCAGAAACTCAACCATCATGGACTGCTTCCAGAGCTCATTGGCTTCAACTCTATCATCCTCTCCTTCATTTTCATCTCCAGAAGAATCAGATTCGGCCACATTTGGCAGACCTTCCAGTACTTGTTCACCATCAATCAGCAAAGCTAGGCTCTCTGTATACCTATCCACAAAAAATGAATCTTTGGTACCCAGAATTCCAATGTACTTAATTTCTTGAATCCTTGGGTTTGGATCATATGAATACAAGTCTCCATCTCTTGCTGTCAACAATATAGTACCATCCTTCCTAAAACTCAATATCCTCCCCAGTCCTCCTTCAAAATCTACTGTGTACATTTTGCTCCAAGACTTTACATCACCATATGTTTGCATCAACCAAATGGTACAGCATCCAGTCTCAACATGCTTATCATAATGAAGAACAGCAATTGAATCTTTGCAAACAGAAGTACACAAATTTATGGGACACTCAACAACCAAAGCATCAGGCAACAACAATTCCTCAAACACCTCGTTACTCAAATCAAATGCCATGATCAAATTCTCCGTCCTATACTCCTCCACATTCAACCTATAAGCAACCCAATGCACCTTTCCATTAACATAAGCCTGAGTCCAGAAGTGCTCAATGATCCAATTTTGAGGCAAATTAACTTCAATCTCCCTCCAATTACCTGCGCTTAGTGCGAAAACTTCAACTATTGGAGGCAAGTTATACCCACTGTCTGACTGATCATAAGCAATTCTTACAACCTTAAAATCATTACTTTTCAAGTCATATCCAAATCCAAGCACAAACATAAAGGGCCCTAAGTTCTTGTAAATAGCTCGGGGCAAAGGAAGAGTGATTTTCCGCCTGATCAAAGGGTTCCACAGCATAATAACATTTGTGTATCCAAAAATGTCATCAGACAAACACAATAACCCATTGGAGAAACCCACAATCCTAAAATAAAACTGAGCTAAACGGCGAAAAGGGAAGTCTATTTTGACACCACTTGCCACAGTGAAATCTTCATTGTCGTGGTGTACAGAGTAAAGTTCAGTCCTTTGGGGTTTGGAATAGTGCCTGACAAGCACTCTATCATCTGGGACGGCGGGTTCTGAGAGAAAAGCTTGACGGGTATGCAGGGAAATGAAATCAGAGCTGGAGATTAAAGATTTCCATGATTTGGATACGCACCTGAATCTTAGGAGAGACTTTGCAGGTACCCTTGCGAGGATACGGGTTACAACTTCTTCAGGCATGTAATCGGACATTTTTTCAAGGCATGTAGTCGAGCAAAATGTTCTGAGTAGGATAGTCGTAGTAGTGTGGAGTTTTCTAGTAAGAACCTGGGCAATTAGAAAGGAACTGTAGATATCATCGTCAAATACACTCGCGACAAATGCGCGGGTGAATAAGGGTCAGAGAAAATAAGAGCCTCTCCCCCATGGCTCGTGGCTGAGTTGAGTTGGTTATGTTTCAAGAAAACGGAATGATTTTTTTTCCCTTTTTGTTTTAATTTTTCTTTTCAAGATTAGTAAGTGATTTAAGGAGGATGCTTTCTTGGCTAGATTTTAGTTAGGGCAGGATCGTTTAAAAAAAAAAAGAGATGATATTGGTAGTTCCAAAAAAAAAAAATTTTCCAAGCGCCCCATCCTTCATTTTTGGTTAATTAAATGACAAAAAAATTGTTTGTAAATTGTCCAGTGTGCATTTCTCGGTAACTCGTATTATTTTATCTCTTTGATTTTTTTTCAAATTTTTTATTTTATCTCTTACATCTGCCCTAAATTGCTGTAGTATTAAGAATGGAGAAAATTTTTTATAACAATGACTGAATAAATGTTGTTTGAGTATGAATTGTTTAGTAATTCTTGATTAAAGTACAAGCCTTCGTAGTTGAGAGCTGTCTGTAATTTTTGACATGTTCATTTGTTAGGTGGAACTTTGCAAATTTAACGAAATTTATAATTATTTTATATCTTTTTTTTTAAGTTTTAAGACTTTGTAATTAAAATTTTATAGGTCTACACAAAAAATAGACCATTTACTATGCTTTGGGGGTACTTTTTGCATTTAAATGTTAGAAAATCTAGTTTATGGCTCAATTCGTTGTTGTCAATAATAATGAACAAGGATGGAACTGGAGATTGCCTTAAAAAAAAAATTTTTGGAGAGCCAATATCATTGGACATATATTAAAAAAAAAAAACAAATTTACCAACCATCTCTCCTTAGTCAACTTACCGAGAAAATCATATGGTTAATAAAATCGTTGTATTGCAGTGTTTTTGCATCATTAATAAAATCGTATATAGTTAAGCAACAGTTTGTAACTCTCATTTGATAATAAGCCTAATCAAATCAAACACTTGAGTGATTAAACTTGTTCAGTTGTTTATTTATTTACCGAGTTTGAAATTGTGTTCAAATTCGATTTATTTTTTTCCATTGAGCCAGACTCAAGTGATCTTTTATTTGGTTGAGTTCGAGTAGTTTGAATTTTTACATGTAAAATTTTAAATTTTATGCTAATTAAACCAAACGAGTTGAATTTAAAATTTTACCGAACATAAAATGAAGTATCATTTATGTTTGACTTGATTCGTATTCAAATCAAATGGAACGAGCTCTTATGAGTTGAACCAGATTTGACTTTAGAGTATCTAGTTACTTGTCTTTCAGCCCTAAGAACATTGCTGCTGTTGTCAAATGTCTAGTTGAAGTGAAGTAGATAAGACAGTGAAGTACTTGTCCTGCTGACGCTTTTGAAATCAAATCTCTTCCGAATACTCTCTTTTCACTTCCAACATTTGGATATGCATCTGCACACAAATTTTTTTTTTTTTTTTGGGAGCATATGAACAGAAGTTGAATCTATCTAAAGCAATCTCTGCAATGATTTTAACCAGGCAGGGCCTAATCTTGATTGACATTCAGCATTTGCAGAAGTTTATACACAGGTAAAGAAAGAAAGATGCTACTTGTTATTCTCTTCTACGTTTAATCCTTCAAGTCTTTTCATGCTTTGATCTTCTAGCTATCAATCATGACATCCTTATTAGATTGAATCATGCAAAGAACCTGTAACAATGTGTATATGTACATCTTCAATTCTCAATAGAACCAGATTTAGAGTATTAGACCTCTGTAGTTGACTGCAAATCAAGACTGCAGTCCTGTGGAAACTATTAGGACCCAAATGCTTGAAGTATCTTTAGACAAAACCAAGGAAACACTCCAATACAGCCGAATGACCGTGATCAAGTGAATAAAAGAGATGTCATAGTTGTTGTCCTTCCCTTATTGAAAAGATGTAAAATTTGCCAAAAGACAGTTTAATATTGAACTCAAGAAGGAAGACCTATAAATGAGTAGAGTGGATTGATGGACCATTTTAGCTTAGTGCAATTTTGCCACTGAACTGACTTAGGCTATGCTAACCACAGTATTGACCTTTTGGACATTGTGGCTTGCAGCATTACTATTCTTATAGGCCATTATTCTGCAAAACTAGCAGACAGGTTGTGGCTTGTTGATAGAGCTAAATCAAGAAACAGGAGCAAAATATTGCTAGAAACAAATGCTTTTCCAATCACCCGAATGCACTGTCTCCTGCTGTATATGGCCAATGTATGGCACCAACCAGCAATGTCCAACAAAAAATGCTTTGGGCGTGTATAGATTGCTGCATATCACAAAACGGAATCGAGGTTATCGAATTGAAAAACAGGCGTGTTCAAGTTAAATTACACTAAATTCCTTGACCTCTGTTGAAGACAAGAACATCACCTCTTGGCTTGGATTACATCGATTTCCTTTCAACCTTTATATCATGGTACAAAACATAATTAAAATCAGCAACAAAACTTATTCCAGATTCCTAAAGTACCATCATGAATAATAGGAACGAAAAGAAGGGTGTCTTTTACAAATTGAATGATAAGGGAAGTCAATGTAATTTTACAAACTGAATATAGAGAAGTCCCAATCCGCATCAGTCTAGCTATCAAAACTCAAGGAAATGACAGTCAAATGGAACTTGGCATTGTTGCAGTGAATGGAAACAATCAAACGATGGCTCAATGGGCACTAAAGGAATATAGTTAAGGGAATAGTCTGATGGATAATGCAGTGGCTCTCAAACTTGCAATGATAAAGGCAAGAGAACAACAATGGAGGAGGATTGAAGTGGAAATCCCACAACTGCAGCTGTTGAAGATGATAGAAGCCAACAAGGGCCAAAGACATCAGACTCTTTTCTCACTTAAGAGGATATTCATGACTTAAGCTCTATGTTTGTGGAATGCTCATTTGTTTTGGCTAGAAGTGAAAGCAGTATTAGAACAACTGATGTGTGTAATCATGCATTAAGCATATCTTTTCATGAGGAATGGTTAAATCCTCAGTGTCTTTAGACACTTGTATAGCTCCAATTGAGCCTTTGCTCACTAAGTGTATAGTTCATACACAAATCCAATAAAATCATCTATCATTTCCTGGAAAAAAAAAAGATGGGCATTTAACCCTTTTAACATGTATACAGTCATCAGCCTCAGAGTACACATTAGACTACGGAGATTTACACATTAGCAAGCAAAATACGCATACATCAATGGTTGAGCAATGCAGTAAGATATTGAATCATAATCGATTGTATCCAGAGCTCATGCTTTTCAACCCCCTCATCCTCTCTTTCATTGTCCTCTCCAGAAGAATCAGATTCACTAACACTTGGTAGCTCAGGTAGTATTTTTGCTCCTTCGATCAGCAAAGAAAGGCTCTCAGAATAAGTATCCACAAAGGATGAATCTTTAGTTCCCCAGATTTCGAGATGCTTAGATTTTTGAGTTCTTGGATCGTGTGAAACCAACTCTCCATTTCTTTCTGTCAACAATATATCACCATCCTTCCCAAAGCTCAACACGATCCCCAACCCTCCTTCACAGACCACATTGTACATATTACTCCAAGACTTAAAATTCCCATACTCTTGCATCAACCAAATGGAACAACTTCCACTCCAAACACGCCTATCGTAATGAAGAACAGCAACTGAATCCTTGCAAGCCAATGTGCACAAATCTACAGGAGACTCATCAACCAAAGCATCAGGCAACAGCAATTCCTCAAAAACCTCGGTACTCAAATCAAACAACATGATCAAATTTTCCTTCCCATTCTCCCTCTCCATATTCATCCTATATGCAGTCCAATGTACCTTCCCTCTCACAAATGCTTGAGTCCAAAAGTACTCAACAACCCAATTCTCAGGTACATCAACATCAATCTCCCTCCAATTCCCTACACTTAGTGCAAAAATCTCAACTTTCGGAGGCAAGTTATACCCATTACTTCCCTGAACATAGGCAATTCTTACAACCTTAAAATCATTGTTTTTCACATCAAATCCAAATCCAAGCACAAACATAAAAGGCCCCAACTTATCAAAAACAGCTTGGGGCGAAGGTAGAGTGAATTTCCGTCTGATCAGAGGGTTCCAAAACATAATAAGATTTGTGTATCCAAATAGATCATCAGACAGACACAGCAAACCATTGCTAAAACCAACAACCCTGAAATAATAACGCGATAAACCGCGAAAGGGGAAGCCTATTTTAATCCCATTTTCCACAGCGAATGCTTCATTGTCATAGTGTACTGTGTAAACTTCAGTCTTTTGATCTTTAGAATAGTGCCGAACTAGCAATTTGTCATCTGGGGTAGAGGGTTTTGTGAGGAAAGCTTGATGGTTATACAGAGAGATAAAATAAGCGCTAGATATTAAAGAATTCCATGATTTTGATACGCACCTCAATCTTAGGAGAGATTTTACAGGAACCCTTATGAGGATTTGGGTCATAACCTCTTGAGGGATGTAATCTGACATTTTTAATTGGGCATTTGTGAGTGAAAAGGGGGGAATAAAGGGACTAAAAATGACTGATGAGTGAAGGCAAGACTTATTGAGAATGGAATGAAAGAGTGCATTTTCAGGCCTTTTATGTGATTTTGGGGAATAGCCGAGTCATGGCTACCTTGCTTCTTCCTCGATTATGCAATTTTCTTTTGAGAAATAGACAGATGAACAAGAGGATTTCAGTTTGGGATGAAGACATCGAAGAAGGCAAGTGGAGCTGAGTCGGAGTTTCGTAGGCAAAGAGATCGGCCTTTTGGCTTAGATCAAGTGTGGAGAGTGTTTTGTTAATGTGTCCAGCGATGATTATGTGAATGTGAAGGCCTAATTTGATAAGTACAGCAAAGTACAAAATACCTCATTAATCGTAATTAATCAGTCCAGCCTTTATTGTTGTTTCTAGGACATATTATTATCGTTTCTAGAATTAAATCTACAATGGGGCATAGGGGGGTGCATCAATTAGAAAGTCTGAATTCAGAAAATTCGGTAAATTGAATTTGGTAAATTTCAGCCTATTTCGTTTTTTGAATTCAAAAGTTTCAAATTTAATTTCGCTCTAAATTCAATTCGGAATTCGATATTCTACTGAATTCATATTAAAAATAATGATTTGGAATTTATTGAAAAAAAAATAACCTAAATGAGTCAGGTGATTACACTATTATTATTATTATATAATATAATGACTTGCGTATATTATAGCGACATAGATTAATCAGTTTGAGGTATTATACTATTATTATTATATAATATAATGACATATATATATATATTATTGTATATACGAAATTGAAATTGAATCAGGTAATTGAATTCCGATTTCGATTTGTGAATTCGAATTTGAAAGAAGCATGGTCTCGAATTCGAACCAATTTCACTGCTTTCAAATACGAAATCTCCACATTCCTTTCTCTTTTTCGAATTTTCGATTTCAAATTTCCAAATTCAAATTGAATTAGACCCAAAAATTGGAATTTTTTTGGATTTGCACGCCCCTAATTGGGCAGCAAAGGACAATAAAAAGTCCAAGGAATATAAACAAGAAAAGGCACATCATTCTTCAAATAATTTTTAGTGCTAATTAATCATTCTTAAAGTAATATATGTTATGAGATAAGATCAAATTATAGCATGTGTTAGAGTAGTTATAGTTGTCCAGCTTGACAATATATCACATTTGCCTGATAAGACTCTCTTAATGGATTCTATACATTATTTTTGGCCTTTTGTAGACCTGGAATTTTCGCGATTTTGATTGATTATTTCGCACATAATAAAGTTAGAAAACAAAAAAATTATACTGTAATGTCATATTTCTCCTCTTTAAGTGGTCTTGATAAGAGTCCTAAACTTCCCTCCTCACATCCAACCAAAAAAAAAAAAAAGACTTTTGATAATGCATATTAGGGGTGTAAGCGGGTTGGATATCTCGCTAATGCAACCTTTCTTTCCATTTGTTTCAATGAGATCTTTTTCTTGTTTTTCTTTAAAATCAAAATCCATTCCTTAAGCTATTAAGTACTTGCCAAAAATCCATCCAAAAAAGTCTTCTTTTTTTTTTAAAAAAAAATCTTTTCTTACCATTTGTTTCACCCATAAGCTATTAAGTTATTGTGTGCAGTCAATAAACGGATTATCAGTTCAGGAGTTGTATCATTTTACAGAGCAATTAGCAAACAATTCCGTTGTCGTCCAGCGGTTAGGATATCTGGCTTTCACCCAGGAGACCCGGGTTCGATTCCCGGCAACGGAAAATGAATTTTTCATTTTTCCCGGACTGAGTTACCTCAAACAACTACAGAAAAAGCCCTGCCATCGCTTGCTGCTGTTCCCAGATTCTGCCAGATTGCCTTTTAACGCTTTTAATTGCACAATTAACTATTATCTGGTACATTTTTATGCGATGAAAAACCTGTTCTTTTCCTTTCTGTTTAAATTCATTTATTTTACTCAATCAGCCTCTCTTACTGCTATTCTTGTTTCTTGATTCTCCAATTTTAATATCTATGTGTGTGTTATCTAATGAGTAAAGTTTGAGCTTCAAGAGAAAAAGGCTCTGTTACGGGGGATTGGGATCGCTTTTTTTTTTTTTTTTTTTTAATGGATTTTTGGCCTTGTTGAGAAATGCACAAGTTCTTATCAATTTGATTAATAGAATCAAATTTGGAACGTCTTTAGATTGAATGGCTGAAATGCATAAGAGTGACATAATAACTTACTGGTTATGCAGGCTGAGATTTTTGAAGGTGAATTTGCATTTTGCTGCAATACAAATGCAGATAATTCAAGTGGACAGTGTTTTGGCAAAAAAAGTAATAATAAAAAAAGTTGGGAGCTTTTGTACAGCCTCACCAAGTATATAAAAGAAATTTCAGTTAGTTTATAAAGTACAAATCTTGTTGGTTAACTACAAAGAATAAAAGGGGTTGGATGAACTTGAAACTGGATCTACTGTTAGCTCTTCACAGGATGGAGATTTGGTTGTACACGTTGGAATGTTTATTCATTAGGTGGCGGCGGAGGCTTTTTTCCGTCTTTTGCCCTTCAGTGCCTTGGTTCTTAGATTTATTATGATATTCCTGCATTCTTGATTGTACTGTGCTTGCTCAGCAGAAAATGATATTGCAGATAGCTTCATTTTGAGCTGAGCTTTATAAGTAACCACTATGATTTGATCAATCATTTATTAGACTAGAAAAAGTTCTAGCCTTTTAGTAACCTTATGCTTTCGTAGTTTGGGATTGGTTTCGAATGAATGCAATGCGTTTAAGATTTGCGGATATAGATTTTAAGGCTAGTTGACTTTGTCAACAGAATTAATCAGACATTTTTTGTGTTGACATGGGATGTGACCATGATAATGTTACATTCCAGCTAAGTTGCATTAATCATCGTTGTTCTAGTGCATAGATCATGCTAGAAATGCTAATGAAATATTAGTCCGTTTGCAAAGTGCAAATTGATATCTTAATCCTCAAGTAAACGATCCTTGTCTCCTGCATTTGCTCAAATTGTCTAATATAATGTGTGAATGCAGAGGAAAGCTTTCAATGGAGAGCTCTGATGATGGAAAGAATGGTCCTCTGGATGCCAAGGAGCATTCTCTAACATCTGATGGCAAAAAATCCATAGACGAAGTTCTTAATGGTCCAAATGGCCTTTGCTCGCAGAACTTGCACATGGATAGGCACATGTTTTATGTATTGTGTGACATGTTACAAGCCAGAGGCCTCTTATGTCACACAATTAGAATAAAGATTGAGGAGCAGGCAGTGATTGATCATGTTTATAGTTGGGCACAGGATCTGTACTCGAGCAGTTCAAGAGCTATTTGGATACTCTGGCGAAACCATTAGCTGCCATTTCAACAATGTTCTAATGACAATTATGGCAATTTCATGGGATGTTTTTCCACCTCCTAGGCCTGATGTTCCACCAGAATTTGTGAAGATCCTCAATTTATCCTCATTTTCAGGTAACCTGAAAATAATACTCTGATTTTTTGTAGTCTTTCTTATTTGTCCTTGAAGTATTTTTTGTCTTAAAAGTTACTGTTTATCAAGTAGAATTGCGTGGGAGCAGTTGACTGTATATTTTTGCCTGTGCAGTAGGATTGGATGAGCAAGTTCCTTTCTGGAACAAGAGTGGTTTTCTTTCACAAAATGTACGGGCTGTATGCTCCTTCAGTATGAAATTTCACTATGTTCTAGCTGGTTGGGAAGGTTCAGCACCTGATGTACAAATTTTAGGTTCTGCTGTCACAAAAGGTAACATATTGCAAGTCCCCGATGGTACATCATCTTTATAGGAACTGAAACTGAGCTAGCGGAAACGGTTTCACGCATACTGAATTACCATTTGGTGAGAACGTTCTGGATGACTCAGTATTCTCCCATGAGTTCTTCACTTCTGAGTTTTTGATCACCTTCAATCTTAACAACAGCATATTAAAAGTCCCATCTAATGTTTGTCTTTCAAAGCTTTGTTCCTTGTATCTCTCTGCTGTTGAGTTGAAGAATGATGCCTTTATAACCTCTAATAGCCGACAAGGAATCATCTTTACCTTGCCTGTCCTTGAAGAGCTTCGGTTTAATTATTGTACATGGTGGAATTTGATGATTCTTAAAATAGATGCTCCTTTACTCAAAAGATTTGAAATGATTGGTTCCCCTTATAGATCTGGAAATGGTGCAATATATGAAGACGTCAAAATAGAGATTTGTGGAGGCAACCTTGCTGATGTTAAATGTTGGGGTTTTTTCTTTGAGGGAGTGTTTTCTCCAACTGATTGACTCTTGTTAATGCTTGTTTCAAATATGATATTTCTATTATGCATTATGATGATCATTGGAGGAGAAAGATGGTGTTGTGAGCTTGTGCACTTTTAGGTGGATTCTCTGCTATCACGGGATGCCTTGAGCTATCGTGGTACACAAGTTTCTTTCTACAAGTTACTATTGTTAATAGTAGTAATTTTGCATTCACAACTGTTGTCTGTACACTTAGATAATGTCTGCTTAGATGCGTTGGTTATGATTTGTTTTGCTATTGTTCAAGACTTTGCTGTTCTTGCTTTTCCTTTATTCATTCGTCATTTTGTCTGTTGCTACTGTCAATGTGTTAATTTGCAAGCTAGTAATTACAAAATTTGCTTACTGAAGAAGTTGTTCAATTGTATATATGACCTCAATGTACTCAGCTACTATAAGAAACTAAGGAAGGAAACAGCTAATCTTCTTGGCCAGTATGTATTGGTAGCCCATTAATTTAAGACACGGTATTGAGCAGGTATGAAGGTGAAAACCCGATATTTCTCTTTGATTGAGTGCACCTGGGACTTGATATTTAGTTGTTGATGGAAACTAAGCGTTGTAATCTTGAATGAAAGGTACATAACCATCAAGTTTGAAGTAACTTGGGATGTGTCTGCAGTCAATAACAATAGGTTGATGGAGAGATTTTGTAATAACTGAATTGTCTTGGCAATTTTGGTTGTCTTCCTGTGCTGAATTCTGAATTATCTTGCTGAACTTTAGCACATTGCCCTCTTATTGAATCCATCAATTCTTCCCAAGTTGCTGTCCTAGGTGGAACCATTAGGTCCTCTTCCAGTCTTGGATAAGCTTAACTGCCTCAAAGTGTCAGCAGTGAGAGGTGCCAAGTGCGACAAGCCATTGGTGAACTTGCTCAAAAGGGCACCATATCTGGAATCTCTGATCATTTCTTAGGCAAGTATTGAAGTTATTTCTGATCCCCCTAAATTCACCAAAGGCTTTAGAAATCAGTCAATATTTACTCCCTCCCATCCTTCTTTGTGCCTGTGCCTCATCGTTCTTGTTCTCTTCTCCTCCCCTTCTCTCTTTTGACTGCACTGCATACTGGGCCATCATTTCTAATATAGTACTTGTCTTTGATATGTCCTTCTAGTTCCTGATTTGTAGCGGCCATCTGGGGTTGGCGGTGACTATGAGGGAATTGATTTTGAGCCAGCAAATTTTATGATTCACCTTAAGGTCATCAAGTTTGATAACAAGTTTCAGAGGCAAGGAAGTTCAGATTCAGTCAGTGAAGTGTTTGCTCGAACATGGCTCAGTACTTGGAAAAGCCTGTGTTATGTCTGTTTTCTGTTCATTTGTATAACAATGCATATATGAAGGATGTATATGTTTGCAATCAAATTGAAACTATTATTTCAAAATTAAAAGTTAGATACAAAGAAATTGAAACTAGCATGCGAAATCTTGTTGATCAACAGTAAATAGGGTGGATTATTAAACTTGTACTTGTTTCTGGAACAGAGTACTAACCATTGAACTTCTTATTTCAATTTCCTGTAGCTTTGTGCTGTGCTGTATAATGAATTATATCATACATGATTGGCAGCCCGGTTCAAGATGATAGGAGAAGGAATAGCGCATGAAAAGGTTTGGGAAATTGAGATTAAAAATTCGGAGTGGACGTTTCCTTCCCCACTTAGAAGTGATCAGTCCCAAACCCATATGAATATAACTTCTGCCCAGATCATTGTTCTGGTTTTTTCTTGTACAAAGGTTGTGCTGCATCTTAAAGAGAGACTAAAATGTTAAAATTATTCCAAAATGAAACTGAAGAAAAACTCTGATTATACTTCAAGAGCATGTGAGCACCAAGAATCAGATCCCTACTCCACCTTTTTTCCGGATAAGAATGTCAAACATCCTTGTTTGGCTTATGGTTTTCCGTAGAAAATTTTTTTACGTTTTTTTGTAAAAATATTTTTTAGTTATCTTTTTTTTTTTAATTTTATGTACATCAAATCGCTATAGTATATATTTTTTTTAATAAAAACTTATAAGAATAGCAATCCAAACCCTGATATCATAAATGTATTCTGTACGCGATCGTTTTGATTGGACATGCAACAAATAGAACTGTTGGTCTAAAAATAACTGAAGTCTGAAGATATACAGACAGATGTTGCATCTTAGTTAACATATTTTCATCAGTAGACAAGCAAAATTTAGGAGCTTCAGAATAAACAGTGAGCAGATGTTTCTGAAGCTTTCACGCCAACTACAATGCCCCAAGTTGCACCGAGGCTCACAGAAAACAAAATTTGCATATGTTGTCCTGTCCAATGCTGGAATAATCATGTCAGTAGATGCCATCCACAAAAAAAAAATGCGCACCATGAGAAGATCAAAAGAGTAAGGATTGTATGCATCTGATCCTGCAGAACCCAGAGATCAGAAGCTTGCCAGTTTCACATTCTTCTTTGCCTTTTCAGAGTTGAGTAACTGGTCATGGCTTCCATTTTGCTCTGAGAACTACTGCCACTACTAGCCCTCGGAATCGATGGTTTAGCTTAACTCGACACTTTCACCACACTCGCAAAAGTTTTTTTTTTTTTTTTAAATCTGAATCTGGACTATTTATCCATGAGAGGCAAAGAAAGAATATGAGAAAAAGACCAAAATCTTTAAAATTTTTTAAAATTTGGATTGAAGTCTGTTGCTTAGAAATCTAGTTGCAGTCACAAATCATAGAAGTCTTTTTAATGCTCACAATTTCAAAATAAAAAATAAGTGTTTTTCCCTCTGTTTTTCTTTGTCAGTTTTTGAAGTTGGTTTTTTTCCTTAGAAGACAAGATATAGTATTTCAAAATTTTTTAGAACAATTAAGAAAACGAAGATATTTAGTGAAAAATAATCCATGTTCCCCTACCAAAATGGAAAACAAAGGATCCAAAAGGTCCTAAAAACTGAGAACCTTTTTTTTCTTTTCTTTTGCAACTGTTTACTGGCTAAGCTGTACGGAACTCTTATAAATTTCTCAGCTCCACCCTCTCCCACCACCTTTGGCTCCCCCGCCACCGCTTCTCCGGTCTCCCCTTGCCCTCTCGTTCAATCCCAGAAGCCCAAAAAGCTAGGTCTCAAGTGCCTTTTTTTTTTTTTTAAACAACAGGTTGCAAAAGGATGTCAAATCATCTCCCAGAGGAAGTGTGGGCTGGCATCTTCACAAGACTCCCAGTCAAGACCCTCCTCCAAATCAGGTCTGTTTGCAAACTTTTCAGTTCCATTATTTCCAACCCTACATTCATTTCAGCTCACATCAAGAAAACCATCAATGAATCCCACTCTCACACCCTTTTCCTGAGATACTTGATTGAGAAAGAAAGGCAGCAAGAACATTACTTGCTATTTACTGACAGTAGTGATCATAAAAATTCTATCTTTGATGAGCACAATTGCAGGAAATTAGACTTCCCATTTAAAACTCGATCAAAATGTCACTTTAGGATTGTGGATTCTTGCAATGGTCTAATATGCTTGAATGATGACAATGATTTTGATACTTCTGGGATTATTCTCTGGAACCCTTCAATTAAAAGATTCCTGAATTTGCCGAACCCCCGGGTTACTAGTAGGAATTATGGTTCTTATATGTATGTTCTTGGATTTGGATATGATGAAAAGAATGATGATTATAAGGTGGTTAGAGTGGCTTATAAAAAGGGGCGAAGTGGGCGAGATTTGATACCTCCTGAGGTTGAGTTGTATAGCTTGAATTCACGGTCGTGGAGGAGTTTTAATGCTGGTGCTCCTGCTTATGGGATATTCGGGTATACTTGGTCGCAGGCATTTGTGAATGGAGCTGTGCATTGGGTTGGTTATGATCCGTGTGTTGTGAAAGGGAATGAGAGTTGTGGGCTGATTGTGGCGTTTGATTTGAGTGATGAGGTGTTTCGGGAGGTTATGCTTCCTAGTTGTCTGGAGCAGCATGCATGGGATGTGTATATTACGGTTTTTTGGGGTAAGCTTGCAGTGTTACATTATGACTATGGTGCCCATAAGAACTTTTGCTCTGTGTGGGTAATGGAAGAGTATGGATTGGCTGATTCTTGGAAAAAACTGTATACTGTTGACCTAAGGGGAGGATTGCGGAATTTGATTGGTTTTCTGAGAAATGATGAAGTCATTGGAGTAACCATTCGGGGTAAGCTGCTTTCATATGACCTCATTACCTCAAGGATTAATAACCTTAGACTTCGCGGTGCAGTAGGTGGGTTTCATGTGGGCAGTTATATGGAGAGTTTGGTTTTGATTGAAGCTGAAAGTGCAGCTTTAGCACGAGAATCAATTACCTCTGGAAATGAACAAGAAGAAGAACAGGCTACTGACTTGCATGCAGTCAAGAACAGGCAAGATTATGCTTATCGTTAAAATATTTGGGTTCTCAAACACATTGGTGATTGAAATTTTGCTTTCTCACTTGCATTGGTAGTTTCTGGACTACATTGGTTTCTCACTTACATTGGTAGTTTCTATACTGCATTACTCTCTGTGAGTGCATTTTAGGGACTTGAGGAATTTGAACTTCATGTTGTAACTCTTTCATGTTGAGGCTTACTGTCTGTTATCTTTAATTAAGTCAGGATAGGGCATTCCTTTTATGCTTTTATGTAAGGACCATTAGAACAATGTTAATATTTCAATGGAAGCTATGTATCTTTTGTCTTAAGAAGGCCATTGTTCTATTTATGTTAGAAAAAAGCCTAATTAATGGTGATGGACCATGGTCTGTAGTTCCTTCCATAACTGATTTTTCTTTACTTTCTTTAGTTCTTCAGAGCTACTAGTTTGGAATGTGGCATTCTAATGTAAGTCCTTTCTTGATACAGGAATGATGAGTTTGATGATCAGGAAAAACTTGAAAGTTTTCTTTCTCTTAGAATATCTGAACAGAATTATTCAGCATATTTATGCGGTGGCTTTAGCGAGCAAGAATTATCTGCAAAGAATTCTGAAGAATGGGTGAAGGAATTGGTTCCTGAGGCTAACTGTGATGGATGGGAGAATGATTGGTGAAGAATGGTGGAACAATGTTGGAAGTGCAATATTTTTATTTTATTTTATTTTGGTATCAAAGAGAGAGGGTTATGAATAACTGCTTCAAAATGGGGCTCTGAAAAACAAATCGAGAAACACTTCTAAATGTTCTCACAGAAGATCTCATAATTGGTTGTTGGGTTCATGCTAAACCTAAGCAGTTTGCCTTTGATTGCTGGTTGCCGATTGCCTGTAAATTTGGCGATGGTAGCAGGTAAGTTTGTATCTTTAACCTTCAGGTTTCTTATAAACATAATCTGCTTTGTTTGATCAGCCAAACGACTTCATGGTTTTACTTTCTCATGATTTAATTATAACCAGTATCTCTTTCCATCAGACCCTGTACTTGCTTTTCACTTATCTTGATATGAGACTCCAGACCTATTAAATTGATTGTGAAAACATTTATCGACTCCATTGAGCGGGTCCTATCATTGTCTCTTTTTACTTATCTCTCCATTTGGAGACATCCTGTTGAACTTGTTTTGATTCAGTTTTACTCTGCTTCTCTTCTCTTCAACCCTCAGAAAGCACTTAACAAGGGGGGAAACGTAATGGTTTCTTTTCTTTTCTGTTCTTTATTACCCACATGTTTCCTACCAAACTAGCCCTTAATGCAAAACAAACAAGAAGAGATGACCAGAACATGGACATAGATTAATGTTGAACGTCACCTTAAGTATGAAAACATTACCATAGATGACACGATATTATGCCATATATGCTGTGCACAAAAAAATGCTGCCAGACAACCTCCAAACTTGAAAATGAGCATTCCAAATAGTAAACAAGGACATGCAGAGAATCCTGAATAGCTTGGTATACTGTATTTAATTGCTTTTGAATTGATACTTTCAGAGCTAGTTAAATATACTTTGTGAGAAAGCTGGAAGCTGAATGTTGATAATCTGAATTGTCACAGGTTATCCAAAAATGCATGTGGTAAAATTATAATATCTGCTTAACCCCCTTTAGTTTTGCACAAATATCCACTTTACCTTCCTATGGTTATGTTTATATAGGAAGGTGTTGTACATATATCCACATAATCCCACTATAATTTTATACGAAGTAGTGAGACCTTTGTTCTATTTAGTACTTGAGTAAGAGCAATACTGGAATCTCAACTACTGACGGAACAGAGGCTGCTTTTCATCAAGTTTCCGATTTACATAAAATTACAGTGAGGTTAAGTAGAAATTTTAAAATGTTAGGGGACATATGGTAATGAGTGAAGCCATAAGGGGTTAATAGTAATTTATCCTTGATTTAGAACATAATACTTATTACGGTTCTGCGTATAAACTGATATCTAAAGGGTTAAAATTAGTATATGGAGCCTTTGGAAGTAGCATTGTAGGCGTAGGCATCATTCTACCCAATAAAAGGGAGAAACTTTGGGTAATGAAGGCAAAAATAGTCTTTTCAAATGTGTTGATAACAGACACAGTGGAACTAGCAACAGTTGGGGTAAGACTGAATTGGCACAGAGCTTAGACTTTGACATATATGGAATTTGAAAGTACTGAGACAGTTGTACCAGTGCCAGGGATCATTAGCAAGAAGAAGGATTTATCAGCATTGGTCCATCTGGTGCAACACGTTAAACCTATCATGGTTGATCACAGAGTTCGAGGATTTGAGTATCAGAAACAGAAATCAGCCTCCAAACTTACCAACTAGAGCAGCTTTTATATCTCAATATTAACAAATCTTTGGTGACTGATATTTTTCCTGCTGTATCTCATGACACATTGGCACAATTGGTCAACAATATACCTTCTTCAGTACAAGTTGCACGTGCTTTGTTTAATGGAGAATAGGGTTCAGCTTGTAAAAATGTGATGTAGGGACTAAAAACAACCTTCAACATCAAGGATAACCGTGAGTCATGAGAAACGGACTTTTTCTTTTTTAAGATCAGGAAATATTAGATGGTTTGCTATTTGGAAGCTAGTGGTCTTTCACATACAAAATAGTTCTTTTAAAAACTAATACAGAAAAGTATTCGCATCGATGAAGTTTACATTGTCATTTGTCAATGACTCAATAATAGATTCTGGAGAATGGTGATGCAGAATTACCTAACCACAAGTAACAGGTAAAGGTATCACTGTTCAGAGTACTCCCACAATGTCTCACACATGTACAGTTATTGAAACACGGATACACAGACAAATATAAAGATCAATGAAGGATCACCACTGGAATCATATTCTTGATCCTTACATCCACTGAAGAAGAAGAAATGATGGATTACTTTTTGTTACAATTGGCATAAGGATTGATAATGAAGTATGGATTGGGAAAAAAGGATAGAGCAATTGCATATCGTTACTCATAAAAATCAATCAAGTGTGGGTTGACAAGTTCTTCAAGCTATAATTTGCGTAGAATCAAGTGAGCACCATGCTGAGGTTGAATTGTAACTATGGTGTAAGGAGCATGAGTATAAGATGGAGAAAGTTCAAAGGAGAAGCGCTGGAGAATCATTGCCATAGCCAATTTTGCTTCAATCATAGCAAAGGTTTGTCCAATGCATATTCGAGGTCCCCAACCAAAGGGGAAGAATGAAGCTTGGCCTTTTGTCGCATTTGATACTCCTTCATGAAATCTGTCTGGATTGAACTTTTCTGAATCGTCACCCCATATTTCGACATCATAATGCAGTAAGAGTACTGGCAACATGAGCCGCACCCCAGATGGGAAAGTATATTTTCCTACTTTAGTTTCCTCCTGAACTGTTCGATCAATTACAGGCAGTGGAGTGTATAGTCTTAAAACTTCGTTCAAGATCATTGTCAACTGCAATAAAGATTATAAGGGAAACCATATGTCATCATAAACTATGCAGAAAGGAAGATTACTGAAATTTACTATGTAGTGATGGTCTAAAGCATAAGAGAGCTGTGTTACTGTAAAAGACTGAAAAATGTATATGGAACAGAATAAGCTGAATGTTAATGTTCTTTTCCGCAATCAAGAGTTTCATTTGAAGACACGCACTCTTCTAAGTTCTAACAGGTAGGTAACTTCAAACAGATCATGCCAATGGTAACATATGGAAGGAACTCACAAGTTTGAGGTGATTAAGGCCATTGAAATTTGGCTCATCTCTCCCGAAAACTTGCAAAACCTCTTCCCTAGCCCGGGATTGCCACTCCTGATGCCTGCTCAGTAAAACCAATGTCCATACAAGCAATGATGAGGTTGTCTCCTGCCCGGCAAAATAGAATAGTTTGCACTCTTCAATGACATCATTGATGCTCAAACCAAAACTTTTATCCCCCTTTTGTTCAATCTCTTTAAGATTAGACTCCAATAGTATGCTCAGTAAGTCGTTATCACTTGATTCCCCTGCTTTCATTGCTTCTAATCTTTCATCAATAACTTCTCTTACTGCAGCTCCAACTTTTTTATGAAGTTCCTTTATCCTTCTGTTCCTCTTAGTTGGCAAAAACCTATAGATAAGAAGCGAAACTGACTGAATCAACTTTGAAATCAGGAATGTCAAAATATTCAATCTGGAATGATACTCAAACTCCCACAAGTGGTGTGCTTTTCATGTCCATACAACATGAAGATGCATTGAGAAATCTAGTTTTACCTTGATCCTGGAAAATAGAATGATTTTACAGCAGTCATAACCTGCTCTGCCTGTTCTTTTTGAAGCTTAAAGATCTTTCTTCCTTCCTCATAATTACCACCAAATGCTGTACGAGAAATTGCATCGCTGGTTAAAGTCTGCAGGTGTGGCCAAACATCCAATTCACAGGTTCCTTCTGGTGAAACACTTTCCTCCCATTTGCTCAACATTTCGGTGGCACATAAATGAAAAGCTGGTAGCATCAGCTATTCATAGGAATGAATGATAAGCCTAGTTAGTGCTAGATTTCGAAAGAAATAATTTCTCAGGTTAGTAGTTGTTGGTTTACGATGTCAGCATTGGATATCTACTTTACAGATGAAATTTGATTTACATTCTTCTTGCGGATAAAATTGCATCAGGAAATAAGAGAAGTATATTGTAAATTGTAGGAGATCATTCAATATTTAAGCATAAGATCAGTTATCGAAAATATAAGATCATCTCCAATGAATCAACACAGATGACTTTGCAGTTGATAGAGAAATGTTAAGTAAAACCTTGAGCTTCTCTAGATGGAAAGCAGGATTGATTATCTTTCGATGTTTTGCCCATATCTTGCCCTCAGATGCTACTAGACCTTGTATCAGATATTTGCCAAGCGGGTGAAAGTGAGGCTTCTGGAAGAGATTATACTTCACCATGATCTCCCTTATAGATTCAGAGTCTAGGATGATGACTGCAGGATATGGACCAAGCCATATGAAGGAATTGCTACCTGCAATCGACATGCTAAGCAAATTAAACCAACGAAGTCGACACATAAAATATATCCACCAGCAGAATTTCTAAAAACAGGAAACCGACGAAAAAAATGCAAGGCATGGTGTCGCAAAAAAAATGCAATCATTTCTGATCTTACATCACAATATCATGAAGTCTCTGCAATAAGAATTCAGCAGATTATACCATATTTCTTGATGGTTGTGGTGACCATCGGTATAACTCGGGGTACAAGATCATCAGAAAGATTGATTGGCTTGGAATAAGCTTCTTCAATCATCGAAACCATTTCTTTAAAATCTCCATAGACTGGTGTGTATGAATTCCCGGAAAGACCCTGTGCTCTAAGGCACTTCTCTAGCTTCTTCGGCCTCAACCATAAAGAGTTCAGGGCTCTCCATGCACAAACCAACAGGGCAATTAAACATGGTGAAATTGCTAGCATAAAATTCTCCATAATTTTACAGTTGTTTCATGGCTGGTTAGAGTCTGAGAGATAGCCCTTTGAATTGTACTACTATTCAAGGTTGTCATGTGAAGAGGGGATTAATCTAGCTTTTCAGCATTTGAGCGTGCACGGTTTCTAGAAATGACCCGGATATCGACATTATCATTGTGAAAATTCAATCTTGCCGCTATCATCTTTGGAGTTACTATTGATTTAGAATTCAACAGTCTGATTGAGATTATGTTGACAAAGGAATGTGTTGGGTACCCAATAGACTGGATCCAATGTCCCATCAATCAAGAATCTGGTCAATTTTGCAATCTTTATATTTCGTCATCTAGGCTAATGAATACTAGGTCTTCCATCAATTCCGATTCTTGATATAATTGTCAGTTTAATGCATACTAAAGTATCCGGGCGAAACACACAATGACACTCTGCATAATCATTCTCTAATTTAAAAAATAATACATAACCTCCTCATATTTTAGACCAAAATGTCAAAGTGATAAAATTTGCATTCCATAATTGCGCCAACTAAAATGTCAAATGTATTCCTATGTAAAGTTAGAAATTATTTATTAATTATAGCATATTCTGTTTGTATTTGAAAAACCATAAGGGGTTCTGTGGTGAAGTCCTAAATCACAAGGGAATTATATGGTAAAATACAAAATCATAAGCAGTTAATGTAGTATGCATACTATGTTTAAATATTTCGGTTACTTTAGACATTTTAATTTTGAAACAATGATAATCTCGATATTTTTGTAGGTTCCGTAATAGAGGATCATTTTCGTCACTTGACACTTTAATTCAAATAAATTATGTGAAAAATCGCTAAATCATAAGAGTGTAAAGTGTATTTTACCCTAAAGGATTTCAATATTCTTATCATTATTTTTTAAATACGTAGAATAAAGCTGTACGAAATGTCCTACATCGAAATATAAATATAAACTCTGGCCCATTGGATTACTAATAACTTTACATTAATCATTTTGCGCCCATGATTTTGCTCAAAAAGTTATTGAGCCAAAAAAAAAAAAAAACATATATATAAGATAGACGCAAAATTTTCTTTTTTTTTTTTTTCCTTTTTCTCTTCCAAACTAAATATTACGTATAACTTCAGCATCAATTTACAATGTATTGCAACTGCAAAAGTATCACTTTGTGCCTTCTTGCACACATAAAACAGAAATCTTTTTTTTTTTCTCTCCAAACCAAAGTAGGCATAAGGTTGGACAGCCTAGCAGCAAGGAATGGATAACAAAATCACATTTCTCACTCAAAAAAAGAGCAAAACAGAACCAAGGAAAAGCAAATGGAAACTACTTCAGCTGACTATAATTTGTGCAATTCCAAAAGAGCACCATGCTGAGGTTGAAGTGTAAATACTGTGTAAGGAGCATGAACATAGGATGGTGAAAGTTGAAAGGAGAAGTGTTGTAGAATCATTGACAGCGCCAATTTTGCTTCTAACATAGCAAAATTTTGTCCGAGACATATTCTAGGCCCCCAGCCAAAAGGGAAAAATGGAGCTTGGCTTTGGCCATTTGCTGCCTTTGACACTCCTTCACTAAATCTTTCTGGCTTGAATTCCTTTACATCATCCCCCCATATTTCGCGGTCATGATGCAGCAAGATCACTGGTAACCACAGCATCACCCCGGCTGGCAAAGACAATTTTCCCACTTTAGTTTCTTGGTGGACTCTTCTATTCAGTGCAACTGCTGGAGGATATAGCCTTAGAACTTCATTCAAGATCATAGTCACCTGCAAGAATCTCGTGTGAGCTGTATGCAGTTGGATTATAGGTAATTGCAACAGAACAAATTACATTTTTTAATACCTTTTCAGGTGTTCAATTTCTGTCGGAGCTAATATGAGGAAGACACTTACTATTTTCAGGTGATTAAGCCCTTCAAAGTGTGGTTTGTTTCTCCCAAAGACTTGCGAAACCTCGTATCTAGCTTTCGACTGCCATTCTCGGTGTCTACCTAGCAACACCAATGTCCATACAAGCAAAGTAGAAGAGCTCTCTTGTCCAGCAAAATAGAAGAGTTTGCACTCATCAATCACATCTTGCATGGTCATACCAAAGCTCTTGTCTCCATGTAGATCAATTTCTTTAAAATTGGATTCTAGCATAATGCCTAACAAGTCATCGTTACTGGTTTCCCCTGCTTTTAATGCCTTTACCCTTTTGTTAATGATATCTCTGATTTTAGCTTGAATTTCTTTTTCAATATCCTTCATTCTTTTGTTCCTTCTAGTTGGCAAAAACCTGAAGACAACAATGAGAAATCAAGAAACTGAGTTACTCAGACATAGGAAATCAAATATGTGAGTTAAAAACTTATCCATTGTGTAGCTTTATCTTATCAAGCTTTTCTTAGTCATGAAAATGAAAGTGTATCCTAGAATACTATGCGTGCTGAGTTTATACTTTCCTAGAAACTTGGCAGAAAAAGATTAACTTTAACTTTACCTCAATCCTGGGAAATATACTGATCGCGTGGCCCTGACAGCATACTGTGCCTGTTCCATTTGGAGTTCAAATATCCTTCTCCCTTCTTCGTAATTGCTACCAAATGCTGTACGAGAAATCGAATCAGCACCTAAAGTTTGAAGGTAAGGCCAAACATCCAATTCGCATGATCCTTCTGGTGAAACTCTTTCCTCCCATTTACTCAACATCTCGCTGGCACTTGAGTAAAATGGTGGCAGCATATGCTATTCATAGCCATGGTGAAAACAAAATTTATTAGCACTTCTAATAGACCTTAAGAATGATTCAGATTGTAGCTTAATTATTTGCCATCACTAGATTGAAAAATTTCAAACTGAAGTTCTTTAAGGTAGAGAAAATAGAATTCAAATTTGTAAACGATACCTTCAGCTTCTGTAAATGGAAAGCAGAACTTATGATTTTTCGGTCTTTGGCCCATTTATCACCCTCCGAGAAAATGACACCTTGTGCCAACAATTTGACAATTGGATGAGGACGAGGCTTCTTAAAGATATAGTTCTTCAGCAAGATTTCCCTCATAAGTACAGGGTCTAGGATGACCACTGAGGGATTCTGCCCCAACCATACAAAGGAATTCCTACCTGCATTTGGATTCTAAACTGATAAGTTCACTTTTAAACAGAAATACTTGTGTATACGGAAAGGAGAATGTTTAGACAGTTTCAATCTTCATATGCGTACAGTAGTATGTGGTAAAAGGAAAATCAGCTATCAATATATATATGGCTATCATTGCAGAGACAGTACAGTTTAGACGTGAACTTTGCTAATCAGTTGCTTAGGAAAACTAATATGATGAAATGAGTGACCAGGGATCAACACCATACCGTATTTCTTGATGATTTCAATGAAGAAAGGTATGACTCGTGGCACGATGTCATCAGAAAGGTTGATAGGCTTGGAGTTAGCTTCTTTCAGCATCACTGCAATGTCTTTGAAGTCTCCACACACTAGTCTATAAGAATTTCCATTAAGGCCTAGGTTTCTTAGGCGCTTCTCTAGCTTTTTGGGCCTCAGCCACATGCAGTTCAGCACTCTCCATGCAAAAACTGCAAGTGCAACAGCGCAGGAAACTCCTATGGAATAATACATACGTTCATATGATTTCATCGCCATTTCCTAATGATCTCTCAACCTTTATAGCTCCATATACGAACATATTGAAATGAGGGATCCATTATTATAATCATTAAAAAAATCCTTTTAGGCAGGATGATGGAGCAGAAGTGACCTTTTATTGTTAATTTATCTCTTGATGTTGGCCTCATGGTGTGCAGTGAAGATTTTGTTGATGATTAGACAATAATTGACGGCCAACTAGCCAGCAGCTTCATGCGTAACAACGACAGGAGAAGCCCGTGCTTCCACTCCCTCGTTTTTTCATATTTTGATGTAGATATTGCAATCTCATGCCTTACTTTATTTGCATGCCTTGATATTAGAGAAGCAATGAGGTATAAGCAGTTTGATGAGGACAAAGACATCCTCAATGATTTCTGCCAATACCAAATCAGTGGATTGATCTGGAATCCATTGATGATGATAGCACCTTTTGTTTTTAGGATGATGTGGATAAGTATAATGTCATAGTAGAATTTTTCATAACCACCGTCAAGCAGCCATCATGTAACTAGCATCTTTAACGTATGAAAAAGTTAGAATTTTTTTCTACTAACTTTTTTCAGTTTTTTTTGCTATTTAAAACAGGATAAATTACCTTTTACTTTTTTGTGATTTGATACTTTACCACATAACCCTCTATAATTTAAAACCTATACATAACCCCTTCCCTAATTTGGGTTAAAGTATCATTATTAACTTAAAAGTAACGGTCAATATTATAAGGTCAAAGTCAAACTAATAAATAGACAAATACACGCTTTTACTATATATATTGTTCTTTTTTCCTCTTCTTTCTTTTTTTCTTTTTTCTTTGAGAAGAGAAGAGATGATTTTAAAAAACTATACTTTGGCTTACTAAATCTTAATAAATCTAAAATTTCCTCAAATACAAAAAAGAAGAAAGGGAAATAAAAATAGATAAACAAGAAATAAATAATACTGTTAAAGATTTGCAATCACTAAAGATTTGGTTTAAAAACTTACATTGATATTTACAATCATTAAAGATTTGATATTTTGTAATTCTTATTATGTATTTTTATTTTCCTTTCTTCTTTTTTTTTTGGTATTTGAAAAAAAAAAGAGGTAATCAAAGGGTGAATTTGTTAATTTATTAGTTTGATTTTGAATTTTTTAATGTTGACCATTAGTTTTAAAGGGAAAATTAGCCTTGACACTTTAATTCAAACTATAAGGGATTTATGTACAAGTTTTTAACCCTTGAGGAGTTATGTGACAAATCACTAAACCATAAGAAGGTAAAAGGTAATCTAACCTTAAAATATTAAGAAAACAGCACAACCGGTAATAAAAAAATGCTTTCCAAATATAAATGATCATTTATTCACCAAATAAACAAGCAGAAAGAC